ATGCTCAGAAGCACCGTAGGAGTCGGAGTACTTGCGCTTCCCACCCAGCTGCCATCTCACCAGTCACATCACACGGAGCTGTCACGGCACTGAGCCTTGACGCATCGGCACCTCAGCCTCGTGTCTTCATTAAAATGGCAAACAGTGAGAGCAAATGTGCCACGGATGAGTTAGATCCCAGAGATGACATCCCTTTCCAGATCAGGATTTGCTCTCTGGGACAACAGCAAAGCAATGCTTGATGTGTTCGTGCATCAGTAAGGACTTGGTGCTGGAAAGACACCACCCACCCAAAAGGCCACTGGTACCTGCAGAAGGGACTGCAGTGGGGCACCAGTGCCTGGGGGAGGGAGGTGTCTCCTTTCCCAGATGAAAGGGGTTTGAAAGGGTTATCTCTGGTAGTCTAACGTAAGTACTGATGGGGTGACTGCATAGCTGCAGATGACACTTTCATCTTAGCAATCTGAATTGCAAAATGTGTTTTTCTAACGTCTCCCTCACTTTGTATCCAGCATGTTTGACAGGTTTTATGGAACAAAACTTATTTTAAAATGCTGGGTTTGGGTATTTTAGCTGAAACCCACATTCTACCTAAATGGACTTTTACCCCTATGCAGAAAAAATCCATTGGTTAAGCACAGAAGTGTATTCTTCACAATTCTCTGCAAAAGGAAGAAAGTTGTGCCTCCTAAAAAAGTTAACTGCACATGTAAAATAATACTAAAGCAAATTATTTAAATCAATGTGTTCTCTTGGAGCATTTAATCATTTTGTGTTGCTCATGTTGAAAACCTATATCTATATGACAGGTGATATTAGGGCTTCACTGCCCCCAGCACATGGGTCTATCCACAAGATCTGGGTTCCATCCATCCCAGGCACAGACCAGGATTCCTGTGTATTTCATGAGTTTCCTCAAGTTCTTACATGCATTTGTGGAAAAAAACAAACAAACAACGAAAACACCAAACCCCAAAGAAATGAAAACACAGCTCCTGGATTTTAATTTTTGTACATAAGGACACATGAAAACGTCCACCATTTCTGCAGGGACTGCATCTTAGATTCAAACACAAGATTCCTATCTGCTGCAGATCTGGTCTTTTCAAGGATATGGAGCTGCAGTGAACTTCAGCAGCTGGAGGTCCAGCCCTAAGCCGCTCAAGCATTTCTGATGCACTTTTGGTGTCCCAGGGCAGGAAATAAAAGGTAATATTTATTTGAGCTATCATTGCCTACCAGCAGTTTCCACAAGGAACTTTTCAGTGGATACACTTGTTTTCTGCTGGACTGACATAACAGAAAAGCTTTTTATCCCCCTGGAAGCCTTTCTGGGCATGAGTTACTCTAAATACTCTTTTCTTTGTTCCTAATATAAAAAAGGTGTGAAAAATTAAAATATTCAGAATGACATGGCAAAGCAGGGATAGGGGATGTGTTGAATATAAAGCCAAATCATCCCCGCTAAGGAGAGTGCTGGCAACATCTGGAAGAAAAGCAGCAACTGCACAGGCTGTGGGGTGAGCAGGAGACCCAAGTAGTTCATTAAGATACTGCTGCACAGCAATCACTTCCATAATTCAGAGGGGCAGCAAGCAACGAAGCCCTGGATAAGAAGCCAGATGGCCCAAAGCAATCTGAACGGGCTATCAGCAAGCAAGGTTTATTTCCACTATCAGTGAGAAATGTGGTCCTAAAGGCAGGCCACACTTTTGTCTCTGGCACAACCAGTCACATCCCTGCAGGTTGCCCGGCCTGTTACCCCTTCGCAATAGTAAATTTATCATTCCTTCTCCGAAAGAATAAATGTTTTATTAATATTCAGCTCTCTACCCATAATGAAGGAATAGGTTGTCTTAATGAAGTCATTAGAGACTGTTATGAGTCTATATTCTGTTCAGTAAACCTGAAAGAATAAATAGTATTAATACTATTAAAATGTCTAACTTCCCC